CTCCGAAGGGGATAGCATTCTGTTTATTAATGAGCAATAAAACCATAAAAAATTAACAGCAATTAAGTTTGTGCTTTTCCGTTGAACAATTAAACAGTAAAATAAATAGATCGCCTGATGATGAACACGTTTGAATTGAGTACATGATATTTATATATACACATATATATTGCATCATTGAGAGGAGAAATATCAAAATTTACAGAACATGAATCCTTAATCGAGAGGAGAAATATCAAATGTACGCATCATCGAAATTGCGAAACTGTCAATGATCTGTCAAAACACTGTACGAGCCCTTCAGGACCAACCCAGAAAAAGAAACATCAATCAGCTGAATTGATTATATTGGAAAAACCACGTCTTTACCGGCCGGGTGCCAACCAGAACAATGAATACCGCAGATCATCTAGTACAAAACACAACATCAAACCAGCCAATTTTCTCAGTCAGGAATCAGCTTATATATGAAGCCACTGATCAGCTAGTGGTAATTTTTAGAGGCACAAATATTGAAAGATATTTAAAACCATACCGCGCGTGTGAATACCGCCGATCTCTGGAACCTACCATCCTCATTCAACAAACCCCATGTTCCTGAAAATAGCACGTATATATATGTACTACTCGCGCATGCATGGCGTAATAACAAACACGAATGAGTTAATTAATAGTGTAGTACCGTCGTGTATATGATTTACGTTCAAATTCACTAAAACCGTAATTAATTTTTACGAAAGCCAGTAATTTTTCGCCTCCAGCAAAACAGCAGTTAAATTCAGGAAATGGGTTTTGGTTAGAATAGCATGTATGATAACAGATGAAGTAACAGGGGAAGCAATGTGCATGCAATAAAATATGTGAAAATAACAGAACGTAGGAGAGAACAGTGCAGGTCTTGAAACACTGTACGTACGGACCCCATTAGTGTGGGTGCCCTGCCAAACATGTCCTCAAAAATCACCCTTCTCTTCCCCAACATCCGCTTCTTGTTTTACTATTCTATAGATAACACCATACTTATCTCTCTATATATCCCTACGTACATATATACTCAAAGTGCATATTTTCTCCCAATTATTCACTCATTAACTTCATCCACCCCCCAGGTAGGGCTAGCTATATAGGGGCCTCCCTCTCTATATTTCCTTGACTTTCAACATATATGTATGGCTGGCTCCTCGTTCATAAATTTTCTCCTCCTTTCATTGTGCAGTTGTCTCTCCACTGTTCGGCTTTCCCTTGGCATACTGAAAGTAACACCTTACAAATTTCAACCCGCCACATGTTTTCAAAACCCTATGCCCCCCCCCCCCCCGAGCTTGTCCTCTATACTGTGTGTTGTCTGATTGACATGTCTGTAAATAATTGACCTCTCTCTCTATATATACCCCTCACCCTCCTTTAATTTCTCTATACTATCATCCTACCACACACATGTGTCTCATACAGTTGCTTCGATCTCGCACGTGCTCCAAATAACGAAACAGCTACGATTTTACTGGCTACAATATATATTGATTAAATCATCGTAACCTAACATTAATTTATATTGCTTGCCAAGATTATATAAAGAGCTCGATCATAGCTTTCCCCTCATGTCACTTGTCTTTTTGTACGTCACAGTTTCTCTATGTTATTATATAACCAGTGGCGCTTTTTCTTCCTTTCGCTTCATTCAATTTCTTCTTCACCAATCCGAGTGAATGTTCCAATAATTTGAACACAGACAATAATAATTGATAACCCAGCACACCTACCTCCAGTTATTGTACAGCCATTTGTTTAATTTCGGAATAATCCCACCTTTTATGATCAATGAATACCTCATCAAGTTGCTTAATTTATATATATGCCATATTTGTCGCCATTCGGTACTGGTGAGGGGGTGTCGTGGGCTTTCCCTTTTCTACAAGGAAGATAATAGTTGAAAATGATGTCTGTGACAGATTAGGAACTAGGACTCATAGGACATGCAAGCCTTTCGTCATATTTTAATTTTTAAATAATGTCCGGATCGGATTGAGGATATATAATAGTGAGGAGAGAAGTAGAAAAGGAAGGAACAATAAGAGTGCAGGGATCTTTTTGTATCATCATTCACATTGTGTGATGGACGTACTAAGTTATAAAGTCAATTAACGAGGGTGAAGGATTTGGAATCTGAGGAGAATGAGACTGTCGTTTGGAGCCAGCAAGAAATTGACACACAAATGCGAATACTTTAATCTGCTTTCTGGGTAAATCAATCTGGTTGTCGGGGGAATGATTAGCCCCCCTCCCCCACTATAATATCTCCTAATTGACTAAACATTTAAAGTTAAACTTATGCGGGTGACAATCACTTTTATTATTATTATTAATTATACTTTTTGCAGGATAATCATTCTACATTTCAAGAAGCAAGTGGGTCTTTCCATCCCATTCATCATGTCACTGACGACGTCGTCTCTCTTAATCTGTAATCCACAAGCATATTCAAAACATTAACTCCTAAATCATTATCTAACCAATGCAAACCAACAAGAATTATACGGACAACGAGAAGACAAAAATGTGGTAGTTTCCCCCAGTGAATTGAAGAAGAAGCCAACTTGGAAGGGGGTTTTATATATATCGCATAAGACTCCATTAAATGATAAGAGTAAAAACATGTGTCATTCTGTCTCTTAATTAATATAACAACTATATATAATGCACGAATGGAGAGATAAAGCAGGCGTTACATTAATAAAATAAAGAACGAATGGTGGCATACACACACACACACATATAGGTTAGGCTTTTTGAGCTAGGGACCAAGCTGGGCAGTGGGTTTGAAATCTTTTGAAGAGGATACATCATTATAAAAGTTGTGGCTTTTATGTATCTTTCTTTTTTTCCCTCAATTATTTGATGAGGGTCCTATCTCTAGAAGCTGGATGTGTCCGTGGCGATATGAACAAAAACTACTGCTGAGAGAAGTACTTTTTCACTGTCCCTGCACATAATTCTCCATCTGGCGGTCAGCTCAGTGTCCCGTTCCGGACTTTGATTTGCGCGTTTTTCTGATATTTTGGGGTTACCTGAACTGCGAAATACTCTGTCGATACTGCGAGCTTCAAAAAGACTGACTACTCAAGTAAAGCGTCATGGTCCATGCAGAGAGCACAGGAGCGCACAAGAGGAGAAAGCGTGGAGAGATCAGAAAAGGGAATTTTGTCGATTTTAACAATTATGTGTGCAAGTGAAGAAGAAAACGGAAGTCGGAAGACTCATTGGCGTTTATTCCTTTTAGGCAACTGGGCATAGATAGAGCCCACTCTTGGGGTCGTTTTGTACATATCGAACGGATTTTGCACGAAGCACGCAGATCCACGTAGTTATTGGGGATGCAGCTAGCATTTATTTATATGTAACTTGATTGACTGACTTGGTAAAACAGTAATCGTACACGTCGCATGTATATGTGTATATACATGAGGTAAGCACAGCAGGAAAGTGGGAGAAGGAAGGAAGGAAGGAAGGAAGCAGGAATACGCCAAAACAACATGACTGTTCTGTCATGATGTCGTTGGAAGGTAGTGTTAGCTGAAGAATTAATTGTTGAGAGCTTCTTTCCTTATTTGGAGGCCGTAAGAGCCACCTTCATTACCGTTACGCCTTCCTTCAGCTCTGCCTTCCAAAAATCTAATGTAGGTTCCATGCATGCAAGTTGCAACTTCATTATTCCTTCATTATTCTTGTTCCTAATTATTATATGACGTAATTAGGAAACCCCATCATGATTACAGTATTGAGACCGATGTTGGTCAATAATAGACCGACACAATGAACAAAGATTGAGTCGCCTTTTTAAATTGAAGCCACCAATTATCAAATCCCCCCCCCCAAAAAAAGGAACTCTACTGTACTACTGGGCTACCAGCCTGGAGTCGTCCGTACAGTGTTGTTCGTGGACACAGTTGCGGAGCTAACGTTCAAAGGAAGTCAGCCGGCCATTTGAATGAGTGAGTTCTACCAGGAACAACTCTATCTTAGGTCTCATATTTAAATTTGGGATTGATACGTTTGTGCGTGTATTTTAATTGTATTAAATGAAAAAAGCAGAACCAGTAGCTTATGCTATGAGCACAAAAACATTCATTATCAATTTTTATGTCATAATATATACACACATTAACATTTAATTTATGAAAAGATTCCAAAAATTTTAATCAATATTGGTTATTACACTTACAAAAAAAATGACTATATTTGAAAAGTAAATGACAATATATTTTTATAATAATTCTTGATTTGAAATTTTAAAATTCAACGGTTATTTTTTTAAGATTATTTCTTAATTTATTGACATTATAAAACATAAAATTAGAAGGAAACTGGATTGTCCAAAATTAACCTGAAATGTTTATCCCTTGAGAGGAGCACTCAAGACTCGGCTAGCATGAAGGGGGAAGGCTCCTCGTAGAGCGATGGGCCAAGGAATAAATATTAATACTATAAGAGGAAGGCTCAAGAGTTGGAGAAACATAATTGGTGGGATTGGGTACGGCTCGATCTCGTCTCTTGCCTTGTTTGTCCAAGTGCACGTGGGTGCGTGAGTCGGCCGGGCAATCGACGCCTTCTTCCTCCCAATCACAGCTCTACACCTTTTCCTCTCCCATTAATTCCCTGCCCTATTTTTCTTCAAATCATCATTATATATATATGTTTATATATATATATATATATATATATATATATAAACGTCGACTAATCAAGGAAACAAATAAATACATAAAATAAAGGAGCTGACGGACAAGCCAAGCAGAGGCAGAGTGTTCGCGCTGAAAGTGAAACCAACGGTCATTCTCACATGCAACCCCTCTCACGGGACCCTGCATTAATCTCCTTTCCTTTCTCTTTCCTTTATTTTAATTTCTTCCTCTGATTTTACCCCTCTCCCCCTCTTTTTGCGTGCTTCTTCACGGAGTTATGATTTCCATGGATGCAAAATTCAGGCTTGTGACACAACAGGGTACGGAATTTGACGGCATTTCCCCCCCTCCTTCATTCGGAAACCATTCATTTACATACGTACTGAGTCCAGACAAAATACACATAAACAAGAGACTAAACACGGAGACCCTAGACTCTAGAGGGTGTGCTGTGTTTTTGCCCCTCCGCTGAAAAAACCACAAGGGCTCAAGCCACAAAATTCAAAAAACAGAGCAAGAGACCATCACGTATATTCACAACAACAAGAACAGGGCACTTCTAGTAATTCCATAGCTGATCCGCTGCATACCGGCCGCAATCCTCCATGCTCTGTAGCCACGGTGGCTCGTACATCCATCCCTCTTCCGGGTCCACGTACACAAACTCCTTCACCAATTCCACCGCGTCGCTGCTCGTTTCCAAGTTTGGAAGCTTTATTATCTCGCTCAGTTCCTCTGACTCAGTACTCAAGTCCATTGCTGACACCAGCGATGACAGTGATGACGAGGACGAAGATGTCGGCAGGTCGAACTTATCCATCTGAGCGGCCTTCGCTGCCGCCGCCTGAACGTCTCGAGGAGCGAGTGAAGCAGGACGAGGAAGCTGGTCGATCAGCTCGGGGAAATTGAGAATAGCAGAGCTGCCTTTAATGCTCAGGGCGGCGACGTCATGTGCTCTGGCTGCCATTTCCGGCGTTGGAAATGTACCGAGCCATATGCGAGATTTCTTGCGAGGCTCGCGAATTTCAGATACCCATTTACCCCAGTTTCGCATGCGGACCCCGCGGTACACTGGGTGCTTGCTGGAGTCTCGAATTCTTTTCACTTTTTTGGATTCTGGGCTCTCAGCTTTAGCTCGCAAAACAGAGTTTTGGAGAGGCAGAGCTGAAGGAGGAGAGTGTGGCGATGTTGGGGAAGATGGGGACGAGCTTGAGTTTGATGTGCTCTCTGTTTCAGAATTCTGGGTTTCTGCAGTCATAGTATGTGTTGAGATGCAAACAGGTTTTGAGGAGAGCAAGAAGAGAAAAGGAGGGTGTCAGCAAGTGAAATGGATGAATTTAGCTTCTTGTTCTGCTTCTTCTTCACTTGGGATTAGCCATACCTTTTTCCCATCACTTCCCAACGAGTGATATAATACTTATAAAGCTTGAAAGAGGACCCACAAGAGAAATGGCCAAAAAGGTCATCCTGCAGCTCTACCAGAGTCTAGGGTCCTTCTTTTTTGCCACGCTTACACTCTTCTCTCCATTCTATCTTTTAACCATCCCCACTTTCACCCACATTACCTCTTTCTCCTCTCGTTTATCCATTCGTTTTTTGTCTCCTTCTTAGCTGTACCCTGCTCTGTTCAGCTCCATGATCAAATTTTCCTCATCATCATCATTCTCCGCTACATCTTAACAAAATCACGGATCTGATAAAGTTATATCAGTGGCAGCTGGGTACGTAGCAAGTGAATTTGACAAAAGGTTGGCATGTAAAACCTCTACCCTATATGTATTCATAGTAGTGGGGGGTCATCGAACATCGAACACGGGTATTCTACTACTGCTCCCAACTCTTGATTTGACTTATCTTTGCTCTGATTACATCACTGGCTATTATCATACAGCTAGCTTTGTCACCATTTGAAATTTGAGGCCCTCAGTTCTTTAAACTCCAACTCCCAACTCCATCTCAGAAGGCCAATATTTAACCATATTCAAGTCATGAACCAGTCCTCGTTCACCCATGTGAATCACCTCATTTTAATCTGTTTCTTCTGCAGAATGCTGCTTCAAATAGTTGATGAAAACCAACTTTTTTTGCCCTTCATTTTTTTGGTCTAGCGAAGGGATTTCACAAATATGTTTCGGTAAACCGGTCAAGAAAAGAATATGGGCTCAACCAATGCATGTGATTGCCTTTGAAAACAAAATAGTAGGAGCCAGCGATGATTTAGGTTTTTGGACCCTTCTTTCATATCTTGCCACTTACAAGTTCTACCAGAACTAGGAATTTATTTCCCACTCCATATGTTTATTTATTGTTTTATTTTTTCTGGTGGTTTCTAGCTAGGACAGAGTAGTTGTTAGCTACTCCATATGTATACGCGCGATTCAGATATTTTTCTTTATTTATTTCTTTCATCTCCCACGCTGAACAGTAGACGAGGAAGAAGAATAAAAAAGTGAGCTTTACTTGAATGAATGAAAGCACGTAATTCTGCCATATATTTTTGGTTCCGTTAAAACGTGTAATTCCTGTAGAGGAGCAAAAAGCCACATGGATAAGGGCCATCACATCTAATGAGGGACAGGAGGCACAGGTGGTTCCAACTTTGGTGCTGCCACGTGGTGTGTAGGAGCAGCGATTTAACTATAATAAATGGACATGCCCCACATCTCAAAGTCATATCTCTGTATCGTATTTACCAAAAGGGGCCCTCTTCCTGTTACGATTGGACACATTGGGAATCCGAGTGGTTTCTGTACCAATTATTTGGGCATGTGTAATGCAAATATAGATAAAATCAGGTCCCAAATGGTGCTCACTCTGGCTTTAATTGCGACGTTCATAGTTTCAAGAAACAGGGAGTGGTGTTTTGTGAATGCATCTTCCACTGGATGAGCTGGTGGGTCCTGATAGATGCGTGTTTGGACTTTGGACCCATTAAGTGACTTGAATATACAGGTGTTGTTACAAAAACGAAATCAAGTTTTATACTATGCCAGGTATTAAGAATCACTGCAAAACCATCGCATTCTTGAGATTGCTTGAATGTGAGCAACCAAGAGACGGTAGGATCTCTTCTTTTCCTCCAGTTCTTTGAAATTGATGTTTTTAATAAAAATAACGTATCATTGTTAGGAATAGAAGAGCATAAAGTAATGGGATGAGTTGGATCAAAAATCATAATTTTTGTAACAAGCCCATAATAGTAATAATCGGACATTCTCAAGTGGAATTTCTATTAACTCCATCCATATATATTATTATCGCACTTTTATGGGGAGTTTAGAAATTTATGACGTTCAGAAATTCAAGTGAATTACTTCCCCGGTACATATCACCATAACGCCAACGCGTCAGCTGCGTTTATCCCTTTTTATGGCCAGTCAATTTGTCGATCCAGTTCCAGCTTTTTACTGCAGAAACTAAACATGCGATGTTATATTCTGGTGCATGTAAAGCTCTTCAAGCCCTCACTGCGGCATGAAAATGCAATATTGTGCAATTTAATTTCAAGTTATGAATCCATCTGTAACAGTACATTCATCTTACAATTGAAGCTGTATCACATGCTGATACGACAGCCAAGTTCCTTTGAATTTATCTTAGGTAATATCAGCTGGGAATTCTGGCATCACCTTACGTGTCTGACAATCCCCATCAGTCATCATGAACACTACCAAACTCTCCCTTGGTAGAGAAATATGAATGGTCACTTCTCCATTCAACTGCTAGAAAACTTCAGTCCCACACAAACATTTAACACGGTATTCTCTTGACAATGCTTGACAAGTATGAAAAACGAGCATTTGAAAATGGATAACATGCTGCGAATTTTCCCTAATTTTAGCCATGCCCAGCTGGGACTTCCCCAGTCACATATCATTTTACTTGACTTGGTTTGTCTGAAAGTGAAAGATGAGCTTTCACCAGACCCCTTCCTCTCAGAAAAGCCAATTCTGGTAGCTGCTGATAAAGTGCATCTCATGTATTCTCATGCATGTAAATCCATTTTTAATAGTATCTCGTCTTCTCTGGCAAAGAGGAAGAAAAGGTATCTCGGCTCGAACTATGGAGTGGAGAGTACCCAATTAAATAAGAGGCTCTATCACTGCTAAAGAATTGGTCAGAGTTGTTGAGGATTAATCAATTGTCCATCTCATGGCACAGAAGTATATAAAAGAGGAATCCAGTATCTGCTTTATTGTTTCAGTGAGTCAAAAACATAAAGAATGTCTTAATCTAACAATTGTTAGGTTGTCTGACAACACTTAATTCTTTTTTTTCCCCCTCAGTTGAGTAGCGAAGACTAATGAAGCAATGCTTCACATAACAGATGGCTTTGTATGGGTTTCCTTCTTACCCTCTTTTCCTTTTAGAACTTAAAATGAAATCGTCGTCGTCATCACTTTCATTGGCAATTCTTTTCTTGGCTTTCAGATCACCATTCTTTGATGCCCGTTGCTGCTTTTGCGAACTCTCAGGTTTACTTGATGGCTTCGACGGCTTAGCGGGAGTTCCCAACCGATTCTCCTTTTGCTTCCTCTGTTTCTTCTCAAATGCTTTCTTCGCTCGTTCCGGAGACAACAGTCCATGTTCCATCAACCTGCAAGTTGAGGTCTATATGCCTTAACTAGTAGTTTTTTGAACAACGAACAATTATTACATTACACAGAGAAGCAATAAACAATAGAAAAAATTGGTATGATCTCCATTACCGTGAGAATCCAGATACTATCCACGTGAAAGGTTCACTATATCGCCTGCATTCAAGTTATGAAACTTTCTTTCTACATGGTGGATCACCATTCTATGTTTCACTGTATATAAAGGTTCGACATTTGAGTCAAATTGATGTCTTCTCCATGGCTGGGGAGCATACAACTCTATAATTAATGATATTCCCCGTCAAGCGGGAACAGGTGTGGCAGAAATACAACCACCACATCTCATAAAGACCAGAGATAGTGCAAGAAACCAAACTAGTAGGACATGAAGTGCAACAGTAAGTGCATCCAGATGTTTTTCCCTCTATAGTTGATCATTTTCCATTTTCATCAAATGCCACATCTTTTGTATATATCAATTTAGAGTAAAATCGATCACAATCCTGTGTCACAAATATTTCTTGCTACGCTGAAGAAGTATTCAGTTTGTGATGGCCTTTGTACAGATGCAAAGCATCGTTACTCAATCTACAGGTGATGAAGGAAAGGAAAATGACCAGAGAAAAAAGTCATTACGTAACCAGATATTATTCACTGCTCTGTAACCAGGAAATAAATCACACTGAGATAAAGACAAATATGCCCTTCTCAGTAGACTAACACTTCTACGCACATGAAAGGAAAGTGTGAGAGCATCTACAAGTTCTTCAGAAGCAGCCAGTGGAGAAGAGGTGTATAACAAGGCTGTTTGTTGTTATCACTGATCTAATACTATAAAACGAGTATTGAAAACCAGGCATTGGATGGAAGTGGGAGACCATATCTGAGGGCACTAGATTAGCAAATTCAACTTTTAATTATAAGCCAGTAAGCTAAAAAGTACAAGCTTAATGATCAGAAATGACAGAAGTTCCTGTGGTTGTCAATGGAGAGCTATGTCTTAGAACCTGAAGAGGTAGTCTCATAGACTATGCATTTATTGGTCAACAGAAAGGCTCCTATCTTGTAGAATTCCTTTGTTTTCACAGAAGCAGCATTTAAAAGAAAATACTAGCATCTAAATACTTACAGAGATGATGGCTGGTCTCATCATCACCATAGCAACGGATGAAAAAATTATAAAGCTAACCAAACTATATGAAATGCCTGATGAAAATATCAAGTATATTAATCCGAGATAAGTGATTCTCCAATGAAAAATTTACTGAAAGGCTTTTCTTTATCTACTAGAAGGTCGGAAGTCAGATATCAGTTAGAAGGAAACGAAACAGCTTTTACAATGATTTTCCCCCCCAGTCCTGTTGGTTAACCAATTAACAGTTAAGAACTTATAAGCTAGTGGCTGTGCTTCATGCCTGATGGTTAAAGAATGAATTTTTTCAAGAAAAAGAAAAGTCCCTTGTAATATCTTCAGATCCAGGAAGATAGACATTCTTGTTTCTTAGTTGAACAGTTAAATGAAGCGGTCACTCCAGACATGTCAATCTTTCCTTGTTCATTGAAAAAAAGTTCAGCCTTTATGAACTTAAGGGCATGCACTGGCAAGTACTTCTAGCCTTCTTTATCATCATAAGGCCATAGGCAAATTTTGCTCTGGTGACTTGATAATTTATGGAGAGGTCCCTCCACAAGCGGCCAATGTTGGGCTCTTTTGTTTAGAGATGCAAAAGCAGAAACTAGCAGCTGTTGTAGTTAAGATCAGGACTCAAGAGTGATGCAATTCTTTTGGAAAAGCAAGAACAGTAATTAAAATGAATGTATAAAAAGTAATTTGTTCAATTAAAACCGAGTATTTGAAACTCACCAAAATTCTGCCATTTCACTTGATGGGATCTGTTTTGACAAGGACTCGTAGAATATCCGCAGGGGTTCTTTCTGCCAACAAGAGCATGAAAAACCACAAAAATGAGCAGGATTGCATCAACATATATAGACATTGAGTTGTAAATCGCAGGAACTGAAGAGGATGGGTAGAGAACCTCTTCGGGAGGATCATGTTTCTGGCCAGGCAAACTGTAGACTTTCTTCTCTCTCACTTTGGTAGTAGCCGTCTTCGTTGTTTTTGATGAAGATGATGTCGTTTTCGATTTAACCTTCACATTATTTTTGGAAAAGATTATTTAGCTCCATCACCATCCTAATTGAATTGAACAAAGTTGAGGAATAAAAAAAAAGAGAGGATTTATGGTGCTAAAGTTCCATTATACAAAAGCAGAAGTTAAATCCCTGTAAGATAGTTCAAATGCAAGTCCTCGTACAAAATCATCGCATATCATTTTCGTAATTAAGAAATTCTCAACCCCACTTTCTCAAGGCGCCCAACACCAAACAGGTTACCATTCATTCTAATTTCCATCAGTCAACTAAAATCAGCTAATCAATTCAGCAGTCCACAAATTCAATCAAACAATACCAACCATAGGGCCGAAAGTATAAACCAAATCAATCTGCAAAACAGAAAAGCTCCGAACTTGAAGAATAATACCTCAGATTTCGTGACAGTGACGGATTTCATCTTTGAATCAGGTTGGTGCCTGCTGGAGCTGTCAATCTTCTTCTTGTTAGAAGAAGAATCGATCTTCCCCTTTGAAGAACCATCTTGGGCACTTGACTTCACCTTCACCGCAGTGCTTTTGGTATCCGTAGCCATACACGCCTTTGTCCTCCCTCTTATCGATATTGTTATAGATCCGACCGACTCTTCGTCTTGCTTGGCCCTCTCATTGAGAAATCTTCATCAGCTATGTCTTTCTCGGCCTGCCTCTCGGGGAATTAATTCCTATTCCGTAAAGTTTAACATAAAAATATCATTTTTCTTTTCCTTTTGTTTACAGTAACGTTTAAAAGTAAAAGCAAAACCACGTCAGAAAGTTTTGCCGGTTAATGTTTGTTTAACTGCCATTTTCTCGAGTGGCGGATAACCCCCACGGTTCTGATATGATGCACCTGTTCGCATAGAATTGGAGCCGGGTGTAGAAAGACATATATGCCTGGTAATAAATCCGAGTTAAGCTTAACAGCATGCATCTGTTGAAGCCTAAATTAGTCTTTGTGTTTTACTTCTACTTTTGTTGGGATTTGTGGCGTAAAGATGAAGGATTGATATTGGACTCTGATAATCGGACGGTGAAAAATGGGAAGAGCAGACATCTTAGGGTGGGGACATTTGCTTCAAAGCTCTTTCTCAATTTTCACGCACTTTCACGTGAACAGTAATCAGAATACGTGTTAGTGATTGGTGCTTACAGCTCACTATTTTAACGGTGTTACCTACTGTCAGTCTGTCACGCAGATTTATGTACTTTTTTGTTTTTTTTTTGTCTGAAAAGTTAAGGGTTCAAACATATTCTTTTTCCGATTGCGAACATTCTCATTTTTTTGGCTGAAAGAAATGAGTTTTTCTTTGCTTGGGAAAGAAAATGTTGGGGAGAAAAAAAGTAAAGAGAAAAGAAAGTGGCCCCATGCATATTTTTCTCTCCATATTTTCTCTTTGTATGCAGAGAGATTTGGAAGAGAAAACAAGATTTTCATAATTGTCCCTCATTTGTCCTCTTTTCTATATTTATTTTCTTTTATTATATTTAAAAAATTATTCACTTTTTATCTTTTATCTTAAAACAATATTTTTATTAAATAATTTAGTTTTAAAATATATAATATGTATATATAAAAACCAAATAACTTGATTTTAAATTACTTGATGATGGTAATGTTAGTATAATTTTTCTCCTGTAATGTTTTATTTAATTTAATTTTAAATATAATGTACTTCAATCAGGATATTTTAGTTATTTAGATGTTTGTTTATTCTTTTTGCTTCTCATTTTTTCTTATCTATTCAAACAAGAGGGATGATAACATCTTTTTTCCAGTTTTCCCTTCACCTTATTTTCTCTTTTCTCATTTTCTTTCCTTCTAACTTTTTTCTCATCCAAACAAAACATAAAAGTGAGATCTTATTAATAGAAAAATTATTATTAAAAAATCTCAGTAAAAAATAAACAGTTTCTGTTGTAAAACTTGTCATTATAAGCTGCTGCTTAGTTATTATTGATTTTTTTTATGAATATGTTTTGGGACCCTATCTCAATTCTCCTTTATTAATATTAATCGTACCAAGTATCATAAAAAGTGTATAATTTATTATTTTATAAAAAAATGTCATAAAAAGCGTATAATGCGTGTACAAATCCTTTTTGCATTCCAAAAAAAAATTCCTCTTATTTTATTTCTCATTACAATAATCAGGTTAATTTGTGGAATAATTGAATGGCGAATCAAACCAAGCGCCCGCTTTTTAATCCAGAGTCAATCCTAAATGCTAATTGATGGTGCACCTAAACCGCTGCAAATCCACAAATCACGGTAGGCTTCGATCGGACGAGAATGGCATGTTTGAAATTTCTGTCAATACAAATTTCCCTTACCTCTCCGTTCAGCTCTAGATTCCAGAATACAAGTTGTACAGAAAGTCATGTATAATTAACCGACCTTTGTGCCATGAAAGCAACAAGAAGCTACATTTTCTCTACTTTCTTCTTTCGTCCGTCAACGCTTATAAAGTCTATGTGCTACAGTTTTCTACAAAGTGATTCAGTGCCTTGTTTGGAAAAGCCTATTATACCAAATAGAGTGAAGAATCATATGAAACAAATCATACCTCACAGGCTCAGCACGCCAGAGGAAATGCTCTTGTACCTGTTTCACCCTCCTGTACATCTCTAAATACCTCTCCTCTGAGATGGACAACAGAATATTCCTCAAATTAGGGATATCTTTCTCAGTCACAATCACAGCAAAAGATTCCCAGTTCAAAACCTCAAAGAATGGCGGCACAAAGTTGTCTGATAAGACAACTGGAACGCATTCATTGATTATAGCCTCTACCACTCGAGGGCTATTAACTTCATGACCCCTTGCACAGATGCAGTATTTGCTGTTCTTCATGAGCTGCAGATAATTGGCGTTGCCCCTCACATGTGGCAATGGACCAGATATTTGCATGTCAGCTTCCTTGTTCTGCCAATACTTCAGCAGAATAGGCCGAAGATAACCATGCATACCGCCTGCAAAGAAAGCCAGGATAGGCCTCTGGGAAGGATGATTTCCTCCTATATTTTTCAGAGGATTCTGAGCTGAGATCACGTATGTTTCTGGGAGAGAAACATCCTTCCCTATCTTGAACCCTACTTCTATGTCCGCATTGCACAGGGCTCTGATGCAATTAAGCATGCGTCCACGTGTCTCTGCAGGAGCCTGAGAAATTATGCTTGTCACTCTCCCACTCAATAACTGGTAAAAACTGCCTAAGAAAATTTCTTGATTGAATATGCATTTCAACTAGTCTACAGTAACCCCTTTGGCTATAACTAGCAGTTTGGAAAGAAGCTAGAAACAATAAAATTGTTCAGCAATAGTAGCTCTGCTCATGTTAAGATCTAATCTATATTGGATGATTATGATTCGCTTTAATGTGAGGAAGCATACCCAATCATGGCAAGCAACAACGAAGTGATCTGTTCCATTTTTTCTATTCCAGAAAGGATGTTTTGCTGCAATCATGTCCACGTAGTTTCTCATGTACTCGATCAAGTTTGAACGCCTATGAGAATTTCGTACATATAGTGTCAACTGTAACAATCTTGAACTGAAAGGTATGTAAAATAAGTGAGCCTTCCCAGGGTCTTGAGTGACAAATTGTTTGTTTGCCTCCATCAGCTTCATGAACCATCCTTCGGAGGCATATATTCCATCCAATAAGTACTCGTGGAAAATTGGTTTATCTCCATCCTGGTAGATGTAAACTTTGAGCATCTTCTCCATTAGTTCGTAGCTCCTGCAGATATGGGCTATATGAAATTCTTTCACGAAAGAATATGAAAAAGAAGATACTCTAATAACAGCATTGAAACTCATTAACAGTAAGGCGTAAGCTTGTATTTCAATTATGGAACTGAATTCTCCTATTATTTGATTCGAGGTGCTCACTCCTTGATCAGTAAGTTGACTTGAACGTGCTATAAAAAATAATCTACCGTGGTTACGTCGCAGTCTGTACTCTGTCGAACCAGTTGTTACCCTAGCCCAAATGCTTCCCACTGGAACAATTAACACACCAAAATAGGTACAGGTCGTGGAAAACATTAGCGGTACGGTTAGACCAGGATAATGGGAGAAATCGGATGTTTTACAAGTCTAAATAACTTAAAACGGAAGTCTTGTTTCTCTGAAGTTCTAACTTGTATATAATCAAATTATTAGATTTAGTTCACTGTTCAGAAATACATGGTTGATAATCAGCGCGTGTAGCAGTAGCTCAAGCAGAATTTAGGCCATCTAACCACATTGCCGTTATTAGGTTCATAGTAAAACTTATGCGATATAAGATGATAAAAGCATATGATACCTTTTGAAAATGGAGGCGTTCCTATAAATAGGTGAGTTAAATCTTGAATCATTCTCGATGATGGGGGCATTTTCAATCTCTAATCTTGCTTGCACTATTTGCTGATCAACACCTGAAGCCTTTCTTGGATTCTAACAAACACCATGAGTTAGAAATCTGATGCATATGTCAATTTACACTTTCTTATTTGACCCATCAAATGTTACATACCACTAGCTTGGATGAAGCATGACTTCGCTGCAGCATTAAGTTCATCTCTGATATTGAAACTACTTCTGAAGGCCGCTTGTTTGAGGTCTTTGCAGTTATGCGGTTATCTTTCCTGGACATTGAACTATTGCCTTGCGAAAAACCCGGCTTGTCATTGTTGTTGGCTTGCTTAGCAGCATCTGATTTCACAGAAGTTGCATTTGAAGGGACAGATATCGTGGGACTTCTTGACTCAGTTTCGGAACCTAATGGTGCTCTGCTGGGGGCAAATGAGGGAGATTCAATCCCTCGTGTAGTGAATTCAATATTGTTTACAGGCGAACTGACACCGTTAGCTGTAAAGTTCTTAGTCTCTGAAGCAAGCCCAGAACCAGGAGCCATAATTGAACCGCCAGCATTTTCAAACCCCGAGCTTCTACCTTCATAGGCCTCAGGAGCAGGACTACTTGCCATGGCTTCAAATGCATTAATAGAGTTAGCATTTGAGCGATTATTGTTGCCTTCTCTTTCAGAGTAACCCAATGACGTTTCCATTTGGGAATTGCTTATCTTGCGGATAGAAGGAATCAGGGACAACATTTTTCCATATGGAAGTTCAGCATACTGAACCACTAAAACCAGAATAGCTGTTACTCCTAATAATGTTAACAACCTTCTTGTTTCACCCTGACAAAGAATTCTAAATCCCCGATCCATTTAACAATTAAAGAAGCAACACCACAGGATGTAAATACTCTAGCTTAATCAATAACGTACAGAAAACTCGTGATCTAACTACAGAATATCTTAGAAAGAGATCAGAACTACAGCAAGATGCGAGTATAAGTCAAAATATATCTTTTGGTTAGTTAGTCCGCACCTCTGCAAGGAATTGAAGCAATCTCGTGAAGATCAACCGACAAAATCGATAGCTGTTTCAATAGGAACGAAGGAGCGGGAAGGTAAAGTAGACCAATGCCTGGGGGTAGGCCCTGTTCCTAAAGAGCTACATTGAGTGACCCAACGAGTGGAAAGGGGAACTGTATTGCAGCCATGGGAATAACGAACGTTTGAGAAATTTCAGGCGAGCTTGCTGGTCACCGTATGCTCACGCAAGTTCTCAACAGGAAATTATTTTCCCTGTTCATGAACTTCGTCAAACTGCTATAGGAAAAGCAGGGCAAAGAATGAACATCAATGGACAGAGGAAATAAAGATGTGTTTACACTTTCCTGAGAAAAAGTCAGGATTGCGATCAAGTTACATCATGCCAAAACGCCAGATGGATAATGGATCTAGGATCAAGAATGATAAAACGCAGTTGATGGATCGTGCTCGTACCTGGGTAATTAAAAAGGAATGAGAAACCCCACACTAACAACGCGCTTCTATCGCCATAGACAGATAGACCATTGACCATCAACCACCGACATAACAATATGGAATAATACATATAATTATGTATAACGGATTTGTTCTGACTTCAGAGAATGTTTTTATTGGCGTCACTGTAATAATTTAGTTAATTAGAGAATATCAAAATTTTTTGGAAGTGTTTTATAATATCCAAATTCAAAACAAGATATTTGGATAAAATTAATATTATAGAAAAATGATCTTATATTAAAGAAGGAAGTGTTTTATCATAACAATGGGAGGAAATATTTTTGTAAAATTTCCTTTTTACTTGACTCGAAAGCTCCACCATTGGCGTTTCAATTTTTTGTTTGACTTTAAAAAGCCCAAATTTTTTATATTTTGAAAAAAATGTCACTTTAACAGATACTAATGTTAAATAGTACCATAGAATTTTATTTTTTATATAGTACTTTATTAATAATTTTGGTTATTTTTTTTCAAAAATATGCCATTTCCGAAGTATACTGTTTAAAAATCTGCTTGGAGGTCCTGAGCTTGAAACCAAGAAAAACGTTTACACTGGACTGACATCATATGCACAAATTCTCTAGTAAACTGTTTAAGTAACAATTTTCAGAGTCTGAAAGAACTTTACCTGAGTTAACAGACTGATAACATAAATTTTCATTATTTGAAACATAATCAATATTTTTGAATCATTTGTACATTCGTTATTCCACAAATCTTGGAAGCAATGCAAGACTTCACAACTCGTATCATAAACGCCATGGGCTAAAGAATGGCACAGAACTGAACTTTTGCCTGTACTGCTAATCAGCAAAGCGAAAAGGTTGGCAAAAAAAAAAAAAAAGCAGAGTGAAAAGACAGAAATTTTCCCCACAAAAAAAAAAAGAGCAAACTTTTATGTGCATCAAACCTCCACAATCTGTGCATGACCTAGTCCAAAAAAATTTCTACCATCAACGTACTCCATTTCTAGCTCCTGACCTTGATGTTGCAGTGGAGACTCTGTTATACCAAATAGAATGAAGTATCATGTGAAATATATCATACTTGACAGGTTTGGGGTGCCAGAGGAAATGCTGCTGCACCTTTTTGACTCTCATCTGCATTTGAAGATATCTCTTTGCAGGTATGGAAAGGAGTATATTCTTCAGATTTGGAATATCCTTTTCCATAACAAAAACTGCAAAGGATTCCCAGTTCAAAACTTCAAAAAAGGGCGGCACAAAATTGTCTGATATGATCACCGGCACACATTCATATAGAATGGCCTCCACAACTCTTGGACTGTTGACTTCATAACCTTTGGCACAGATGCAGTACTTGCTGCTTTTCATGTATTGAATGTAGTTTCTGTCACCCTTGGACTTGGGCATTCTCCCAAAGATTTTCATGTCAGGATCTTTGTTTTCCCAGTACTTCAACAGAATTGGCCTAACATAACCGTGCATGTTTCCAGCGAAAAAGGCCAGAGTTGACTTTCTGGAAGCTGCTTTTCCTCCCATTCCTCTCGTGGGATTTTGAAAATTTCGGATGTATGTTTCAGGAAGAGACACATCCTTCCCAAACACAAAACCTTCTTTCACATCAGCATTGCACAGAGCTCTTATACACTTGGCCATCTTCTCCTTTGTCTCTCCGGGAGCCTGCGGAATGCATAGGCTTTTCTGTTGGAAGATCAAATAAAGAACACTAAAAAGTGGAAAATGATTACTAATTCAATAGTTTTGTTATAGTATCTCTAACATGCCCCGAAAAAACTACATTGTTAGTTTTATTATATTCTCAAACAGAAGTCACGTTCATGAATTCAGTATTATCAGGTATACCCAATCATGGCAGGCAACAAGAAAATGATCGGCTCCTCCAGTTCTGTTCCAGAAAGGGTGTTTGCTGGCAATCATGTCCACATAGTTATTCAGATACCGCTTCAAGTTATTGTGATTATGTGAGTCCTGTACATATAAGGTTTCTTCCAGCATTCGAGAACTGAAAGGTAAGTAAAACACGTGGGCTTTCCTTGGGTCCTTGGTAACAAATCTGTCACTAGCTTCCATCATTTTCATAAACCATCCTTCAGAAGCATATATTCCCCTGAGAAATGGCGTATGCATTATGGGTCTTGCTCCTTCTCTGTATATATACACTTTAAGTCTCTCTTCCATTATATCATAGCTTCTGAAATTTAGACAGTGGCAGCATAATGAGAAGATTGTTATTGTGATACGTGTGTATACCATGCTAACTGAAATGGTAAAAGATAAGACACAAAGGCAATCAACTATGTTATCACTGAAGGACCTCCTTAACATCAAGGACATTCTTCAATATCAAGAAATGCACAAAATTTGACCTGTTAAGCAAAATAATGACTGAGATGATTAAGACGGTCATGTTTGTGTCAGCGAGCATTACAATAACATAAACGCAAATTCTTTTTTTTTTTTTTGGGTGACAACTGCAATTCTTTTATTAGAATCGTAAATGGGGATTCCAGAATGATCTAACTGTCATACCTGTGATCAGGATTTTTGTCATTACAAAAAAGCTTGATACATCAGCAACTATACCAATAAAAATTTTACATTTAATAAATACTTCCAAACCTTCAATTGGGGGGGAAAAATAGCATGGTAATCAAATAATACCTCTTGAACATGGAAACGTTTCGATAAATGGGAGAATAGAGACTGGGATCATTCTTTATGATTGGTGCATTTTCAATCTCTGATCTGGCCTGCAATAGCTCTTGATCAACTGCAGAAGACCAACGGGGCCTCTGGAAACAAAGTAGCAATAATGTGTCTCATTTCTCAGACTCTTATGCAGTGCGTGAGAAAACATCCGTCTAGAAATACTATTAAATAGTGAAAATACTGCAAGTTATTAAACTAAATATGATGTAGCTTCACATACAGTCCTTACCATAGAACGATAGGAAGCACGGCTCTGGAGCAATAATGTGTTCATTTCAGAGATTGATAATACTTCAGGTATTTTCTTAGAAGAGCCTTTATTGTCACGAGGCACACCAGAATTTTTGTCCTCTATATTCACGTCATTTTGGGATGGCTTGAGATTTTCCTTCTTCAAGGTATTAGTTAGGTTGCCTTTCAACAATGGGGGCACAACAGTGATAGAAGAATTCTTATCCATTGTATTGACATCATTTTGGGATGACCAAAGACTTTCATTCTTTGAAGTAGTAGTTATGTTGTCCTTTGAAACTGAAGGCATGCCAGAATAATTTGGTAACTCTGGAGCTGGTGTTTTGAAACTTTTGCTCACTTCCGTTGAAGGACTTATGAAAGGAGTTTGATAGATTGGTGCTATTGCAGGAAAAGGAGCACTAGAATTAATATATGAACTTCCAGATTTATGTTCTGATACTGATGTAATGTTTTTCTCCCAAGAACTTCTTGTCAAATTACTCATATCCCAATTCTCGTTATAACTGCTTTGTCCACTATCTTCTCCCAGCTGTGTCATAGATCCATCGTCTAATTTCTGAGCGTTGTCCAAAATGGAACTCTTGTCGAACTCATTAGATCCTGAAAACGTGTTGGATGGTGGATCTGCTATCTGGAAGCTACTACTTCCTGACGGTGGAATCTTACTGGCAGAGAATGGAGAGAATAGAAAGTTTCCATATGGAATTTCAATATATTGGAACGCTAATATTACTGCAAATGTAACAACGATGAGCCACAGAAATCTCTTTGTATTCAACTGAAATAAGGATTGAAATTCCTGACCCATTTTCCCAGGATTACAAGATCATCGTCAGTTGACTGCCACAGACCATATGTCTTCTGCAAATTACACCAAAAACCTCGAAATTTATAAAAAAGAATTCATAGTTAAGTTAATAAAAGAAACAAATTTGTGCCGTCAAATCCTCAAAAGTAGCAGTTTTGTACTCCCCACGAAGAGCGAGTAACATGATGAAGCCAGAGAGAAGTTTACAAAGTTCAAACATATAACTAAATGATGGCTCCAGATATGAAAGGAATCTGCACTTTTAGCTTTACAAGAAACCAGAACATAGTTGTAGTTTTATCTCGCATGTAACTGGCCGTTCATAGAAACGGAGGGCCATATGAATGCAAAGAGAGGAGGAAAAAAATTAAACAATAACTCAGTAAACCTTGTCCATATATATAGGAATTCCTGCTTTCCTAAATCACAAGCTTCAAAGCCAGATTTCAATAGTTCAGAAGATGTTATCTGTCATCAAAACCCACTAAGACGAACTCTTATCACCGGCCCAACGAAGAACTGACGGTTTTGACGACACATGCACCAGCAAAGGTTCAATTCATGTGATAACTCACTCCCTATACAACATCCAGTCCAATTCATAATCACAACTACAACACCGATTGCTTTTACAGTTTGATTTCGGAAGAAAAGAAAATTCTCAGCATAATTCCCAGACAGTAATGCAAAAAGCATAAGAAAGCATTCAGGAACTGATAACCTTACCAGCAACCAAACAAACAGCAGTCAAATCATCTCAATCTACGAGACCGGCGAGATGGCCATTGAAAAAAAAAAAATCAAAAGACGATATTGTTGGGAATTACTTGTAGTTTCGTTAACTGAGAAGGGTCAGAGGCCAGTTGTAAAATAAGACACAAAGGCTTGTTCTTTTGTTCTTTTGGCGCACTTTTAGGAGGAACCAAACAAGGGGTTGCTTCTTTAGTTTGGATGGAATAGAAATCCAAAGCAAAATAATTGAGGTCCCTGGTCCTGATTCTCACGTAGGAGCTCCTACGCCGTTGCGTTCACGAGTTTTGACCTTCATCTCAGTCATGAGAGACCGAAAGAGTATATTTAATTACGCTAAGCAGGAAAAAATTAGTCCAATATATTTTTTGGAAGTTTGAGGTTGGAGGAGTCGAAGCAGAGGCAAGAAGCTGGTTTTCCGACAGGCAAAGCCAATTTATATTCCGCAGAACGCCACCCACATCGCCACCAACCGTAATAAATCGGCCTTTTAAAAATCAATATATATTCGTTTTCGTTTTACCCACGCGCTACACCGACGATTACGCCAACAACGACTCCTGTCTGCACGTGCTTCCTTCGCTGTTATTCTTTGAAAAAAAAATTAATTAATTAAATTATGGAGAATGAGAATCTCTTATTATTTGACACATAAATTGTAAATAACTCAACGGATCGGGTGTCGTTTAAGTTTAGATGATATTTACGCCATATACATTAACACTTCATTCACAAGTAGAGATAACCTTTTTTAAACAAGAGGTAAATTGGGATGCTTCATTCGAGTCTCTTTTTGAAAAAGGAAAAAGAAAAAGAGGGTTTTGCTTTGTATCCTTGGGGTTTACTGGTACTTTCAAGTTTCAACCGAAAATTTGATTACTCGAAAAGAAAAGGAGCATTTAATGGATGTTGACTGTACCAAAAAAGACAAAAACGCCCACGGAAATTTTACATTTCCTTATGGATCTCATTCTACTAATTTCAAGTTGACCCCTTTCCTAATCTTCCTTTGTATCAGGGTTCGTTCCCATACAAACAATGAGATTACCCACGTTTTATTTAATTATTTCCTCGGAATTCCCACCCTCCAACTTCTTAATTATCTTTCCTTATTTGAGTTTACTTAAGTTTGCATTTTCTTCCTTTGTGTGCCTACCATGCCTGTCTCTGTGAGTGCATTATGTGAATGAAACATAACAGAACAAAAAAAAAAGCATCCTTTCGTTTTGCTTGTATATGTGGGGTAATATTATTGTCTTGCGGGTTTAAAAAAAAAAGAAAGAGTGCGGTGGGGCCTACTAGTGTAATTTGCAATGTCCATATTTGCAGTTCCAAAATTGGTGGGTCCCACTTCCTATTTCATTTGTTTTATCGTTTATCAATATGCTCTTCTTTTACTCATGCAACGTGACGCACGAGAAGGTGATTGATTGCGACATGATAACTCCGGTCCCCTGTTTACATTATGTTTTGCAATTCTTGCTTTTGAGTTTAGTCTTTGACTTGACATGCCCCGTTTTAAAAAGGAAATGATCATCTCAATAATTGTATGCATACGAATAATAAGATACCATCGATCGATATAACAGTGAAAGTGATAAGATCTGTTATCTCACCCTACGTGGATATGTGACTGAGTTCTTTTAAAAGGCTAGGACTAGGGAAATGACCCATGCGAGAGAAAAGAAAGAGACTAGTGCACAAATTACCAATGAATCGTTTTCTTAGTGAATCCATCAAAATGTCAAGGAGGCACATGTGGAAACAGCCAAGTTCAAAAATTGATGGAAAAACACAGAAGGGAATAAATTTAGGTGTATGAGTTATAATAAAAAGTAAAATGAAATTGAGTTGCTCATAGGAAAATTGTTTCGGTAAAAGGAAAAAAAATCAATTATGTTCAATGAGACTCGAGTTAGTAACAACATTACATGCTATCGTCTTGATGCGGTTGGTAGGCTTAAAGTTTATCTGAAAGAAGCTTAGCTCTGATATCATGATAAAGCCATAAATGAATAAAAAGTATCGAAGATAATGCTATGAAATATGTGTTCGTTAGTTATTTGCTTGCCAACACACTGTACACTGGATGCAACAGCATTACATACCGCGGAGAAAAGGAAGGAAAGAATCCCCATTGAAAAGATAACAAATATAACAAATTCTAGAAAGACCTATCACAATGAGTTATCTTAATAAGACTTGATCACTTTTACTTTTTTGTTAACTCTCGTAGAATGTCTTGCACTGCGGACAATTGTTTCTTTCAGATTTTTGGATAATTGTATCTCCTGTTTTAACTTCTGCCTAATACTTATATCGTATAACTGGTGCTTTATTTTATTTTTAACTTAACCAATCTCGTGCATCTGGATTCTAGTTCCATGATCCAGAAAACAAGACCTGGCTTCTGTTTTTTTCAAGCCCTATCTCTAATCAACCTAAACAACACAAGGAAGACAAACTTATGCATTGAAAACATTGGAATGTATCCTCGATTCATTAAATCTATTGGTCAAGCATATTTGAATCTTTACAGTAGATGCTAATTCTGAAAACTATAATTAAAGAATTCTCTATATCTATTTTTTTTATCAATTTAATATTTTTTTTACAGTAGTAGACACCTATCATAATCAGTAATGCGCGAGAGGTTAGAAAGAAGAGATTGTTCATATATATATATTTGACTTGGAAATGATGAGCTTTATGTTATCGTTATTCTCTGCAACAATGACCAAACCAGGGGACGTGAATAAAAAGAGAAAGCCGGAATTGGTTCAGAAGGAATATTCCAAGGGGTTGATAGTTCCACAAACAGCCGAAAATGTTGTTATAGGAAGCGATCTATTCAACGTATAAAATAGCGGCTTCTCCGCTGTTCCCTATGCTGTGCCTTACCCACAATAGAAATGCAGTTTCACTTCCTGCGAAAATGTCACCCTGCCATTGAATTAGATTTTGGAGCACCATATTAGTCACATTTCCTTCACCGTCCCCTGCCATTTTAGTTGAGTTCTTGGGTTGAAGCCTCCACAAACATGGCAGCTTCATCATATACGGCATTTACAGTGAAGTACTCTGTTCAGAAAAAACCCAGCATTGTCTCCCACAAATTTTATCACTTCATTATTCCACTATCCTCTGCTTTCAAGGTTAGTCATTACACTTCATGACTTAGTTTTATGTTCCTCTCACTCCCGCATGAAAAAGCTTGTGTTATGTTCGAGTTAGTTAAGTTTCTGGACTTGTGATTCATGAGCAGCCGATCTTGGGATCTTTTCCTCAATTCCCTTTGCAAATTGATGTACCCAAAACTCTGACCAACACAACAGCTAAAATACTGGACGCTTTCGTGGATTCAGTCTTTGAGTTCATTGACCAGCCCCTGCTTCCATCTCAGGTACCTTCTGAGCTGTCCATGCTCTTCTTCTTGGTGACTTTTCAACTGAGTTCGTACTTTTCATTACCTGGGTGCAGAGTAACTTTGCTCCTGTGGAGCAGTTAGAGGAAGCCACGCTTATCACAGCCATAGAAGGAGATATCCCACATGATTTTCAAGAGGGTGTCTATGTTAGAAATGGTCCTCACTCTAGTCTCTTCTTGAACTATCGCACTTTGTAGGTCTAAATGAATATGCCCTCATGGTGGCATCTGAGAATGGATAAATCCAAAAGCATTTGTCCTTCCTTGTCTCGTATTTGGGAGTTTCTTATGTTCCCTGATGGAAATTCCAAAGAAAATGATGAAAGAATCAAAGAGATAAGAATGCATAATTAATTTATTCTGCTATTAATTATCACCCAATGCTATCAGGACAGCAGTCTTCCTTGTTGACCAACTTTGCGTTGTAACCTGAAGACTTTGTAATTATCATAAGCTTCAGGACGGGCCACGTATGCGGGATCCAATAATATATGCAAGAATGGTGGAAACATGCATAAACTATATAGCATGCCTGTTTGAGCAAATTGATGTTAGTAAGTTCTACATGTTGTTGCAGGCCCAAATCCATTATTTGGAGGATTGAAAACAACCAAATCTATCTTTGGAAGGTCAAGTCATATCTGGGTAGAAGGAGAGGGAATGCTTCATGCTTTGTATTTTAAGAAAGCAAGTGACGGGAATTGGACGGTCATCTACAAAAACAGATATGTCGAAACCGAAACTTACAAGCTAGAGAAACAAAGAAACAAGCCTTCCTTTCTGCCGGCCATAGAAGGCGATTCACCTGCCATTTTGTCTGCCTATCTCCTGAACTGGGTAAGCTTATTATTAATGAACTAATTGGATCGCAGTAAAATAAGCAGCCTTGGTTCCAAGTTCCAACTAACCACGATGCAAAATTAGTTTGCAAGAATATATATATATATTGACAAGGTCTTAATGAAACTTTAGGCAGAAAATCCCACTAGCTTGCTACTTCACATGACCTGCTTTGTTATGTTTGTGTTTCGAAAATTGATACTTTTGTGTATGTTTTAACAGTTACGATTTGGAAAAGTGAACAAATACATTAGCAACACCAACGTGTTTGAGCATTCAGGGAAGTTTTACTCCGTTGCTGAAAATCACACCCCACAAGAGATTGACATCATCAACCTCAAAACCTTAAGAAATTGGAATATCAATGGAGCATGGAATCGACCTTTTATAAGCCACCCAAAGGTTTCTCCTTGTATATTTCAAAGTGTCACATATTACCTTTTAAGTACTCCTCGATTGTCTGCTCACTATCAATTCTTTTGATCCATAATCTCAGAAAGCTCCAGCTACAGGAGAGCTAATTATAATGGGGGTGTCTCCAACTAAGCCTTTTGCTACACTAGGAATCATTTCAGGTATGCTTTGTATTACACTTTTACTGGATCCTGTTGTAATGTGCAAACTCAATGACCTGCCTTCCCCTTATTTTGTCAGATGATGGAAAGAAATTGATTCATAAAGTGGATATCAAAATGAACAGGTGCAGTCTTTGCCATGAAATAGGCGTTACAGAACGGTAACATTGTTGATATATGTACTTTAAACTGACTTCTAGTTATAATGTAAACTGTAAAAATGATAGTGAAACTTTGTTGCAGGTTTAATGTGATCATGGATTTTCCGCTAACCTTGGATCTAAACAGACTTATTAGAGGAGGCCCGTGAGCACTGACCCTTTTTTTCTTGCTGAACTTCGTGATTCAATTTTTAGAAGTATAAAAGTGGTCTGAGTTGGAATTTCTTGTTTGCGCGCAGATTAATAGAGTATAATAAGGAGGAATACGCAAGAATGGGGGTAATGCCCCGCTATGGTGATGCCAACTCGATCCAATGGTTTGAGGTGAAACCTAATTGCACATTTCACATCATCAACTCTTTTGAGGATGCCCATGAGGTAACTGAGATTTCCAAAGCTTATTAGATGTCCATCGTCCACATAAAAGCTCAACGATTGTCACTGCAGCTAATCCATTCATTGACAAAGCCGCTACTTTTCACCTCAAGACAGCGTTTCAATTATTGTTGACAAGACCGACTAAATTTTTTGACTGATCCTGCAAGCACACTAGTTTAAGTAGATTTTAATGTGTATCGACAGGTTGTAGTGTGGGGATGCAGAGCTCTTGATTCGGTAGTTCCTCGGCTTGACCCTAGTTTGAATCCATTTGAGGCATTCTCTCGCTGTTATGAGTGGAGATTGAATCTGCAAAGTGGGGAAGTTAAGGAGAAGGATCTCGGTGGAACTAAAGTACTGAGTATGGATTTTCCTATGATTAATGCAAATTTTATAGGTACTAAGAATAGATATGGTTACACTCAAGTGGTTGATCCTGCAGCTAGCTCCACTGCAGGTACTTTTGGGAGGGAAAAAAAAATGATAAATTATAAGCAGCCTTATCAAATATACATGCTAGTAATTCTAACTTTTGATTTTTCTCCTTGGTCATTTAGGAGTGCCTAAATATGCAGGTCTAGCCAAGCTTTACTTTGAAAAACCATGCATGGATTTGTCTGCGGTGAGAGCTTACTCTGAATAAGATAGTCTGCTTTCTGATCATGCTTTGTCTTCCATGATCACAAACGTGTTTTTTGTTAAGCAGAATAACATAGAGCACGAAGAGCCTCTAAGGGTCGAATACCACATGTTTGAGAAGAATGTATTTTGCACGGGAGCATCCTTTGTCCCAAAAAGTGATGGGATTGAAGAAGATGATGGTTGGATCGTCACTTTTATTCACAACGAAGATACCGACATATCTCAAGTAAGTTAATTTTTTAGCCTACAATTGATCTTGCAGAGAATTAAGGCACTTACTTCATTTCCACTTTCTCCTCCCAGGTTCATATGATTGACACAAGAAACTTTTCGGGAGAGGCAGTTGCCAGAATTACGATGCCTCAACGAGTTCCATATGGCTTTCATGGAGCATTCATGCCAATATCATTGGAAGCTTAATTTGTCAGTGCTGGTCATCACCCCCTGAGCAAATGCAGAACAAATAATGGCATGTGTATATTCTTGAAAATACCTTGTTCCTTTTTTTGGGGATTGGGGTTCCCTTTCCCTGTGCCGCTCACAGTGTGTTGTAACTTGTATTTTGATTCCTAAGCCATGTCATTGCCTGTAAAAGAAATGACGTTGGTGGTGTGACAGAAGCAAAGTTGTTAAGAGGACGTGTGAGTAGCGAGTACTATAGATGCAGGTGAACCCAATGGCAGAAGACACGAGTGAGGTTAGGTGGATGTCTTTTGTACATTTTTTTTGTGTATATTGAATTGAGTTGTTTCTTTTATTTACTTCGCACGTTATCACCACTTAAATCCCGGTCGGATTTTGATCTATAAGGATAACATGTCATATCTATCCCCCCTTAAAATAAGGTGCAACACATGAAAAGTAGATCCTACAGTTAAAGTAAAGGAGCACCATATAGGGGATTAGGATCCAAAACCCCACATCTATATGTCTATTTTCTGTACTTATAAATATCAAAATGGGCTAGTAGGCTCACTATAGCCCCTTATTAAATTTTCAACCGTTGTGCTTATAAGCGCCCTACATGGACTTAAATTATCTAATGTAAGACGAAGCAAAAGACGCAGAGATACGTCCAGGGATTGTCTGGACGACAATTAGTGGACTCCACATGCGGCCAATTATATTCAAGTGGCTCTGGTTGATCCTTGATGAGCTTGAAACAGAGCATAAGTTTCATTTCTGATTCTCTCCCTTCAATTTCCTATTCTAGGGGCAGAGCCAGAGTGGAACCAGAAAACAAACAATTCAAATTCATCTTCGTGTTAACTGTGAGAGAGTGGAATCATGATAGGCAAGTGTAAATTCCACAGCTATGAAATCTTTCACAATGTTATTGTCCTTTGGTCAGAGACAGAGGACGTCTCCTTACGAATGCAATTTGTCTTCACTTAGATAAGATAAACTTGATTAATTTTCCAAGATAAAGACTACATAAACCAACAAACACACAAAATCTCCTCCATGTGGGGACTGTTACAGTGAGAAGAAATATATTAAAATATACGAAACCTTTTAAGAATTGTCTGTACTCTTTGGACAGAGGATAACTCTAGAGATTCTCCGCTAAATATACATTTCTACCCCTTATACGTAATTAAGGGGCAAAAAAAACCTTAAGAATGAGTAATCTGGTAGGCAAAGATATCCCAGAGATGAGCGACTGTTTGGTGGTGTTCATTACGATTCTTTCATTATTGTTGGATGTGCAATCCCAGGGAATACCAGAGAGCATGCAAGATATGCCTGAAACCATCCATCCCAGCAAAGGAATTATAATAGCAATCCTCACCGTTATGTTTGCCATATCATTTCTACTTCTGGCATATGTAAAGTTCTGTAAAAGCCGCTCCGTTCAGTCTCGGAACTTCGATATGAACAATCCAGGAGCAAGTCGATCAGGGTCAAGATATTCCGGGATAGACAAACAAGTAATCGAAGCACTGCCGTTTTTCAAGTTCTCTTCGCTCAAGGGGTCAAAAGAAGGCCTGGAATGTGCCGTTTGCCTGTCAAAATTCGACGACGCTGAGGTTCTTAGGTTGCTGCCCAAGTGTAAGCATGCTTTCCACATGAATTGCATCGACAAGTGGCTCGAATGTCACTCGACCTGCCCTCTTTGCAGGTACAAGGTTGTCCTTGGGGACATAAAGACATTCAATTCCTCCATCAGCTCCAGGTTCCTTCGAGTTCCTTCCAACATAAACGAAGTCCCCGATCTCGAAATCTTCGTGCAGAGGGAACAATCAAACCAGGGCTCTCACATATTTAACCACTGGAAACCTGCGCACAGGCTCAATCACAGAATAGTCATATCCGATGTTACTACGAGGAGCAGGTGGAGTGATCTTAATTCCTCGGACTTGCTGTCGTTGAATTCTGAGATCCTCAGTGCTATGTCAAGCGCGACATTCCCTGCTTCCAACGAGGAAGATAACTCGTTTACGCTGCTGACTGCTCCAGGGGAGAAGAGATCCATGTCGGAGATTGCCAACGTGGCGAGATTTGCAGAAACCAGGGTGGAGGACAATGAGAGGGAAGAGAGAGTGAGGAGGATTTGGTTGCCGATTGTGGAGCGAACAGTGCAATGGTTTGCGAGCCGAGAGAGCAGCTCGACAGAGCCGAAGCACAAAGGATTGGCTTCAAATGTTTGATCATGGCGTTGACTAAGTACTGTACTTACTACTTAGGTGTCCTGTCTTGAACTCACTGGTTTTGTTTTGTCGGTGTGATCATCGGACGGTAATTATTAGCAAAATGCCGAGAAAACAGTTTATTTTTATGCGCTCCCGAAATTTCGGCTTTGTTTTTTTTTTAATTTTTTCTGAAGAAAAATTACTCATCTGGTCCTTGATATAAGACTCAATTCTTAAATTAGTTTTGGTCTTAAATATAAGACCTATTTTTCATATTTATCAATTTTCTCTAAATTACCCTTATGATACTCCTCAGCCATAATCAAGTAGAAAAAGGAAAGGGATATTAAAAAGATAATTATAGTATTTTGAAAAAAATGTGTTATTTTTTTTATAATTAACTAACTTATCTAATTTTTTTAATCTAATTAAATTAGTTAAATAAATTTTTATATTAAGAACAGGAAGAATATCATTTTTCTCCCAAAAATGAGAAGCCTAGACATAGGGAGGGGCCAGCCATCCGTATCGTGGACAGAATCTTTCGGCGGTCGTCGTCAGGAGAGGTCTAATTAGCCGCCATAGCTGAGACACGTGTAGGGTCGAAGTTTGGTGATGTGAATTAGATTTCATGCCTTTAATTCAATAAATTTTAAAATCGTCAGTTTGAAAAAAGAGAACAAAAAGAAAGATCAAATATTCGTTGTCTTTGTCATTATTTATAATAATAATAATAATAATAATAATAATGCAGTTGAGAGGCCCATGACACAGCGTTTTCCCTTCATTATATGTTGAATTAACGTGGGTCGCTCAATGTGAATAAGCTTTTTATGCTTTTCTTTGTCAGTTCTTCCCCTTTATGATGTGGATGATATATTCTAATAACTCCATAATCACGCATCACAAAAGCAAGGCAAAAAACTTGCAATAATCAACCACTGTGCTTTAGGATTTTCCACTGCCTTTGTCCGCTGTCCTGTTGCTTAATACTTCCTCCCTTTTTGTTCTTACTTGCAAATCACTTTTAATTATTTTATAGATAAGTAAAAACAAATTGATAAAACTAGGTAAAGTTTGTGAGCTTTCAAAAATTATCAAAATTTTCCAAGACTCCCATCTCTGTTACACAAACACACACATGTATATGTTAACCCCTCTCTTCAACTTTTTAGTTGCAATGCGTTACAATTTGTAAAGATGGGCAAGTAACAAAAAAACAGCTCTGCTGCCTAAATTTTGTAAAATACTAAAATAATCTATATTTTTAATGCACAGGATTTTATAAAATGTGCCTTGTGGGTGGAAAGAGAGGGGTATAAGGTCTTTTTTTTATAAATAATTACCCTATAAAACTGAATTGCTTGCTTAGCCATTAATTTCTATCAATTACTATAATATGATAAAATTGTGTTTTAAATGTTAAACATTGCTGTGGCATCTGTTCAACAATAAATGATAAACACTACTAAATAATTCAATCAATTTGAGATTTTTGAGATGGGCTTTGAGCCTCCATTTTGATGGGCTCACACATTAAAGCCCGATTACGTTTTGAGGCCTGTAAGAGAAGCCCACGACTTCCAATACGGAATCACACTGACTGAAGACCGACTGACCGAGCAAAGCAGAGGGAGCTGGTGGCAACAATGGCGTCATCCTTATCTGCAGCTCTGAATCTCTCCACGGTCCGACATTGTGCTTTCCAACCACCACGCTCCTTCCGTTTGCCCTCGTTTCGAAATTCCTGTTACAATCCTTCTCGAAGGCTCACTCTCTTTCACCTCGGAACCGGTAACTTCACCTCTGCATTCTTTTTCAAGTAAAAACTTGAATGCTTTGTTCGTTTCATTGACCATGCAAGCATACACGGAATTATACCTATATATTTCAGTTATCCCATTTTTTAATCTCGAGTGGTTGTTGGTTTCCTCGCCTGGAAGCGAAAACAGAGTGAGAAAGAGTCAATATAGGCGTCTGTGTCATCTTGGATTCAAATGACAACGCGTTGCGCACACATGTTCAATATTAGTCCAGGAGTTTAGTGGTGGATTTTCTTAAGGGCGGAGAGCTTTTTTTTTTTAATGGGAGAAAAGGGAGAAAATGTTAACCCAGGTTCCGGCAGTATATGTGGAAATTGGAATACGTTTCCTCTATACAATGCAAGGAGCATTTACAGATTCATTATCAGATTATTTTCTTAAGAATCTGGATTATTTTAATGATCCGACTGATGCGTGAAGAAGGTCTTTGAAAAAGACTGCCTTGCTAACATAATTTAAATTTATCACCACAAAGCAATGAATAGACCAACGGTGGTTGGGTTAATAGGAAGAGCTATCACACCTCTCAAACAAAATCATATGTTCACCTCTTATGGATCGAAAAAAATCATGTTGGGAAAGTTATCCTCATTAAACCTGCACATTTTTGGATCAGTGGACGGTGCTAGTTATTAAATAGCTGTATGTACCAACATATGGCTAGTTTGGCTTCAGAAGGGACTTGAGAGTCTTCTGGCGGTTGTTGCCCACCCCCACCTGCTCAAGGGATTCTAGCCTACTTTGTACTTTTTGAGTTTTGACATCAATTGTCATTGAATTGATTGATACCTTTCTGCATCTGAAAACACAAATTGGACTAATATGCAAGTATGATTATTATTTGATGCAAACATTTATTGGATTTCTTCACTAACAGAACTGGGTTAATTATCCTTAACTAGTTCTCCCACAATCCCATTTATTTGGTGCAAAAGTATCTGAAGTGTTTAAATCAGAGGGACAAGCAATAGAGGCTACTGCTGCAGGAAAACTAGCCCAATCGAATAATTCTGTTACTCAACAGAATTTGATAGACTGGGTCAAAAATGACACGCGGAGACTGCTTCATGTTGTATATCGTGTAGGGGACTTGGAGAAGACTATAAAGTATGCTATTTAAGTTAGATTATATTTAGCTGCTCGAGTGCTTAACTTAAAACACAGAGATTAATGCTTTACTGACGTGTAATTCTGATTATACTGCTGTGATACAGATTCTATACTGAGTGCCTGGGTATGAAGCTATTGAGAAAACGCGACATCCCAGAAGAGAGATATTCTAATGCTTTTCTTGGATACGGTCCTGAAGATTCCCACTTCGTAGTTGAACTTACTTACAGTATGTTCAGATATGAATGCTACAACATGTTGCCTTCTACAGAATCCTATTATTTATGCTTATTGAAAAATAGCTTTTCATCATGCTAGTTTGTTATTATTGCAGATTATGGAGTTGATAAGTACGACATTGGAACTGGTTTTGGTCATTTTGGTATCGCAGTTGAAGATGTAAGCTCATATTTCTTCAGAAAGTAAGGAAGTTTGTAGTTGACAGCTGGCAACCCTCTCATCCTCCACCAACTGCATAGACACATTTTCATTTTCCTCTTTGTAAAGTTTTGTATGTTTTTCACCAAAAGGAAGGAATAAGTTCATTATAACTGTCACATGTTCTATCCATAGCATTGAAACTTTTTCCTTTTCTGTAGTGTCAATGAGCTTTTAAGACCAACTTACATCTGATTATATTTGGGAGTTGTGCGACTTGCTATAGATTTTTGGTGTAGTGAATATTGTTATGTTGACATAGTAATATATTAATAATTGACTAGGTTGCCAAGACAGTAGATCTAATCAAGGCTAAGGGGGGGAAGGTTACCAGGGAACCAGGACCTGTCGAAGGTGGCAGTACAGCCATAGCATTTGTTGAAGATCCGGATGGCTATAAGTTTGAGCTTCTTGAGAGAGCACCAAGTCCTGAACCATTATGCCAAGTAATGCTTCGAGTAGGCGACCTTGATCGTGCCATAGCCTTCTATGAAAAGGTCAGCGCTGCTCACTGCTCTGGTTTCTTAGTTTTCTTCAGAGTTTTAGCTCCCTCAGATTTAAGCTCACAAATGTCCAATGTTTCCCCATGTATCTGTTGATTTTCTAAGGCTTTTGGCATGCAACTTCTCCGCAAAAGAGACAATCCTGAGTACAAGGTAAATTCCCTATCTAGCTGCTAATAAGAGCCATGGCCATTTTTGTACGAAGCATTATATTTTAATGTTAATCATTCATATAAATGATCGGGTTATTTTCATCGGTGTCCAGTATACAATAGCTATGATGGGATATGGCCCTGAAGATAAGAATGCAGTTCTAGAACTGACATATAACTATGGGGTCACCAATTATGACAAAGGAAATGGTTATGCACAGGTAGATTGCATAATTTTCTGCTTTCAAGAGTGCGCTTAAGTTTTTAATTCTATCTTTTAAACCTTGTACATTAAGTCATTGTGAAAAAAGAACCTTTTAATGTGTTGGGACAGATTGCAATAGGCACAAACGATGTTTATAAGACTGCAGAAGCAATAAAACTTTATGGGGGGAAGATTATCCGTGAACCTGGGCCTTTGCCAGGTATCAACACCAAGATAGTAGCTTGCTTGGATCCTGATGGTTGGAAATCGGTACGGCCTCTTGTTTTTACTCGTGATGTGGTCTGGAGCCTTAACCTTGCCCCTATCAAAATTTGGTTTACTTAGAATGGTGTCGGCTATATTTAGGTGATGAATTAATTGGTGACTGTTGTGACTTGTAAGTGTATAGAACAGATGCACTTAAAACTGTTTATTGTACAATTATTTCATGAATGATATGCTGAGGAATTACCATTTATCTAAAAGAAATCTAGAGAGCTTGATCAGTGCTTTGAGTTTTCTGATATTAAATTAGTTTTTCCATACCTGTCACACTGAGTTCTTTCTAGTCTGACTTATCTATCAATTCATGCAGGTGTTTGTTGATAATGTTGATTTTCTGAAGGAATTAGAGTGACAAGCATAATATAAGATTCAACACCTCTTCACTGAAGGCAGGGGACTCTGGCAATTTTGTCCGTCTAATCAATCTTGCAACTCTCCATCTTGAGAAGCTACTGCCAATTAGAACGTACATAGCCTATCTGCCAGTCATTCCCTCCGTCTATTGTTGTAGCAGTGTAAGTTTCTTTGTCGAGCCCGCTGGTGATTATTCGAGAGGTTGAAGACATTTACTTGATGACTTATTTAGAGGAGAACAAGGGGAAAGAATGTTGAAAGTCATACTCACAACAACCCCAACTTTATGTAATGCCACCATTTTCTTCTTATGGAAGTCAAAAGGTCCCACCAATTTTGCTAGCAAGCTGCCGCAATTTCACTATCACCTCTGTTACATCCATCTCCCTCATAAAATTAGGTTTTTCAGACACGTGTTAGAAATTAATTTTTTCAAAAGTAATCCCGATTGTAATCTGCCTTCACATAGGCATACAGGATATCAATGATTATAAAATGAGGTTAGCAAAACAACATCTATGGAGTTATTGTTCTTAAATTAATAACCAAAGTAGAAACAGAGCAGTGGTGAACGAAGAGAAGACAATATAACTACAAGGAGTACCTCACCCTCAATTGTGCCCACTGCTTGATGAATTCAACAACCACAGCGACTGAATTCATGGAGGCGAGAGGCATGAACTTGGAACCAGATACAGCCCTAAAAGCAATGAAAGGTACCCTCTGTTGAAGGCAAATTAACGCCACGGATGCACTTTCCATGTCTATGGGACTTACGTTGAACTTATTGTATATGAAGCTCCTGTAAGCTGTATTTGACAGGAATATACTCGCGCTTCCTCCTCTTTGGACTCTCGCAACCTTTGGCCGTCTCAACAAACATGTTGAGTTGAAGCACTTCTCCAGTCTTAACTCCTAATCAATCAGCACGTAGGAGGATCAGTGAAATGGGTATTAGTAATTCAGTAGTATATTATTAGTAGTAAGGGACTCAGCACCTCTTACCTCAAGCTTTTGAGACATTTGGAAGAACATGGAATCAACAGGGATCCAAAAGGCATGTTGCCTTTCTTCTGGAGTGCCATCAATGGCAAATATCTCCTCTGGTTGGTACCAGATGTTGTTGAGCCGGTTGTCGTATGAGCTTCCATCACCGATGTATGTGGTGTAATCAGCAAACTTTAAGTAGCCTATTTCTCTGGTGTAATCTCCGTTGGCTTCCAAGGGTAACTCATCCTCAGGCCCCTGCCCATACCGCTGCATGAGACCACTCAAACGTTACAAGGTAGGGCTATGGCAAATTGAAACTTGGGGAAGGATCAAAATGCCAAAATTTGATAAACTATTATCCCTGTCTTTATTCTTTTCATGCATGATCTACCTGCCAGCTCCAAAGAGCTAAATGTGCCCAATATTGAGGAATCAGCACATCTCCCGTATTTAGGGATGGGTTCACATTTCCCGCAGTGCCATAATGCAACACTCCTTTTACTCGGAAAAAGCTCAGCAGAAGCTGAGTGGTTACTGCCGCATTTATCTACACAAGCAGATGCGTGTTAGTATAGTTTGTCGAAAGGAATGGAAGGAAAGAAGGTATCTCAAAACGCAACTATACCATGCTTAATCCTGTCATGACCACTATAACAGGCTGCTCACAGATAGCTCCGAAACGAAATCTCCTGCCTTCGTTATTATATACCAAGAGATAAATAGCAATTATACATAGAGAAAACTCTGGTTTCTAGTGATTTCAAAGCATAACGGTAGAAGTGAATGATGATTTCTTTAAATAAAATGACGATCTGAGTGCCGTTGACCTTGTTTCTCGCGAAGTTTCTCATGCAGAATTTGAGAAAGAGGCAAAATAAAAAAGGAGGGGGATGTTAGGGCAGAAAAATGAATATACCAGCAAAATCTATGTTAGCGTCAGTGGAAGTGAAGTGCGGAGAGTGGAGAAGAGGATTCAACTCAAATGCATTGGGCACGACCAAACCTATATGGGGCCCTCGTCGGTTTGCTTCAGCAATTTTGCTCAGCAGATCCGGCGTCAGAGCACCCCTTACATGTTGAAATGCAATAACACACATGACCGCCTCAAGAAACTTGCGTAAGACTCTTGTATTAGCTTCCATTTTCATTCGCCCACAGAGACTGTGAGAGAGAGCTGGAGAGAGCCGAAAATACCTGTAAAAGCCAAAGGGAAGTCACGAAGCAGCGGTAAATTAGTTTGAGAAAAAGAGTTTAGAAGGAGGTTAGTAAAACAAAATCGTCGACAGCAGGATTCGAACCTGCGCAGGCAGAGCCCAACAGATTTCGAGTCTGTCTCCTTAACCACTCGGACATATCGACGGTTGCTGGTGTCGTCCTCCTTATAAATTATTTTTAATCTTTTAAAATTAAGCCGAAGACCAAGACAACTCAAATCTTAACTTCTAATCAATGTTTATTTTTCATTATTTCTCTATAAGACATACTTTGTAGTATAATTTGTATTATAAAAATGAGTCTTATATTAAAAATAAGATAGAAAAAGTATTGTTGTAAATATTACATTCGCATTTTATTTTCCGCATTCATTTTAAACACAAGTCTTACATTCTTATTATATAATCATTCAATCCTTAATATAACACTTATTTTATAAGGTAAATTGCACTATAAAATGCTACCTCCGGTCTTTAATATAAGACATTATTTGATTTTTATTTTGATCCTAAATATAAAACCCTAATCCACTTTGTTTCTCATATTTATGCATTTTTTTTAAAGATAGTCCTCTTAACAATAGTAATTATAGCTAATACACTTAATTAGTGAGAATATTTTAAGAAAGACAACATATATTTATTACAAATAACTTATTTAACTTCTTTTCTTAATATTCTCAAATTAGTCAACCAATTCTTATAATTAAGACCGGAGATAATAGGTTTTATATTAAGTAGAGCAGTGCAAATTTTTTCCCATAATGTAAAAATTAAGAGAAGATGTTGGGCCAGATTTACAGTATAGAAAAATGTGAGCACAAATGTGATGTTGTGCCGATGCCAGTTGATTAGCGAAAAAAAAGTTTTTGAAACTTCTAATAAATGGTTAAATCCATGCTTTTTAAGATTGCCAGCAATGATGAGATTCAGATCAGTTGATACCGCTAAATGCCATAAGATTAATAAAAATACCGCAATACGATACTGTTGCTCACGCGGGGATGTAATGAGCAAGTTTACAGAGGACCGGGGTATGCACGGAAATCAAAACACTAAAGAAAGAGAAGAGGCACGCAACCCAAACAAAGCTATGCCGAGGATACATAAGACGGAGACTCCAATGGTCCGTTTGGTATGAGGGGAAAAAAAAGAAAAAAAAAAAAAGAGTGGAGGTGGGATTTTAATAAGGTAAATTTAAAAAATTAAAAAATTAAATTTTTTATATTATTTTTTAATTAAAATTTTAAAACTTCACTTTTAAATAGTTTATTAAATTTTTTTTTCTCCTTCCTATCTCTTCATTTCCCTCATTTCCCTCGTGCCAAGCAGTACCTAAAACTGACTTGGAATATTAAAAGCAGAGAATGTTGTTTTATCCTGTCATTGACAATCCTAATTTCAAACACAGGAAGCAATTGAAATTAGCTTGCAAGTGTCATGTGCAAATTTTCAGATTTGGCTTTTGGTATCAGCATGTCTACGACCCGAGTCATCTTTTGGGCCAACAACAAAAATGAATAAGCTTATCGAAATCAATCAACGAAATTCAGTAATGAAACCGAATAGATATAAATACAAATAATTGAATAAAAGAGTAATCTCTGTGAGTATTTTTTTTCCACAATATATAATCAACATTCAACATTAATCAATATAAAAAAATTGCCGACAAAAATGTAAAACTTTTACAGCAACAAGAAAAATAACGTTGGTAGGGTTAGTGTTCCTAATTCCGGTTTCACTGGCAAAGTCGAGTTGCAGTTTATACAAAAATAAACAAATGAAAAAAGGTCAAATTTCAACGCTGCGTTTTGAAGAGGCCGGCCTTTTTTATCGTTACGGGTACAGCGCACACGAAGCCTCCCAGCTTCTCTGGTCTCTCACTCCCGGCGCACTGGCTCTTAGATCCGTCTCACTCTCATTCGGCGAATAGATTCTGGCCGAATCGCCATGGCCATGGCGATAAGGGATTTTCTCGTTCTTCTGTTATTTCTCTTGTGTGCCCACTTTAGCTTTTCGCTTTATGAAGATCAAGTTGGCCTTATGGATTGGTGAGTTCAATTTCTCGTGTACTTACAGCTCTTCTTGGTCATTGAGAAGGAAGGTTGATCAGAATTTTTAGCCTTTCGGTTGTCTCTACTGGATTTTTAGTTCGACCCTCTATGCTGGTCTTGGATTTATTGTTTATTAAATTTTATGTATCCTTAGTTATTGATAGGTCAACACTCGGAGTCTCGGAGCCATAGAGATTGATTATTTTAATATCGGATTTCATTCAAACTTTTTGAAAACATCCTGGAAAGATAATCTCTTTATACTGTTTAATGCACCTGCAAAATTGATATTGCTTGTGATTTGAACTTGTCGCATTATCCCAGGATATTTTCGACTTTCCATAGCAGTAGTCTTCTGATATCTACAGCATCTGCAACCCCAGAAAATCATGTGATAAATTTTCCAATAGAGTTCATCAGTTTATGATCTCGGCAAACAGGTGCATGTATAGTAGGTTTATCTTTTATACTTTTTAAATATGCGACCACAAATTTCAGGCACCAACAGTACATTGGGAAAGTAAAACATGCTGTGTTTCATACTCAAAAGACCGGACGAAAGCGTGTTTTGGTGTCCACTGAAGAGAATGTTCTTGCTTCTCTTGACCTTCGTCATGGAGAAATTTGTAAGTTTGATTTGTTCAATAGATTTCTCAGGAATCTCGTTGATTTAGTTTCTTAAAAATGATATAATGCCTACAAAGTTGCAAGACGAATGTTACTAGCACTGAATGTAATAATTTGTGAACGGCATAGAATTAATTCAAACATTCCTGAGTAATATTATTGCCTAGTCAACTATTTGTTCTGATTTGTTTGAAATCAAGAAGTGCTGAACTATGTTTCGCCTTTTTTTTTTTTGGCAGTTTGGAGGCATGCTCTTGGGACCAACGATGTAATTGATGGACTTGACATTGCCCTGGGAAAATGTATGATGCTGCAGCTTTCTTTGATATCTACTTACAGAATGTTAATCATGCTATCTAACCATTATTATAATTGGGCTGCTTCGGAAAAGCATTAGAATATGTTCTTTATATTCTGGCTTGACCGTCCGTCAGGATGATATCATCACACAAACATGTTATCCCATGAAGAGGGAAAGTTGATTTCAAAATGAAATCTCTTTCATTTTGATCATTTGTCGTGTCTATTGGCCAAATATGTCTTTTGGTTTTGTGCACCTAAAATGAAATGTTCTATGGTTTTGGCTGACATTTGTTTGAATATTGATTGAATTTAATGAACCAACCAAAGTCAACATGGCCACCTACACCATCATCATTGAATTGCAGTGATGTCTATAATTAATGAGCTAGAAACTTAATTGGTTTCATTATGCTTATATGCTTCTTTTCTTACCTTGTAAGTGATTTTTAGTATATACTTGATGAAGTAATTGGCCTATATCAGCTATCAGATTTATTACTGTTCATTGAATTGTTTCAGATGTTATTACTCTCTCCTCTGATGGTAGCATATTGAGAGCATGGAACCTTCCTGATGGCCAGATGGTTTGGGAGTCTTTCCTTCCGGGGTCAAAGGCTTCAAAGTCAATATTAAATGTTCCTGTGAGTGAATGATTTGTTGCCCAAGCCAGACTTTTTCATGTTAGATGTGTATGTCACCCGATATTTTTTATTTGATAAGGAAATAAAGCATGTAATAATGGGAATAAATAGTGCCAGATGGGAGGGCACTTCACTGCTCCATTTATACGATGAAAAAGGATTCAATGCACAGAGCAGAATAGGCGTAATTGCACTTTTTTCCCATATAAGCTTGTACTTTTAATAAACCTTCTGTACGATCCTCATCAACCTATGCTTATTCCTCAGTATTATTCTTATCCCGGCCATGAACCTGTCCTTCTTGCCTGGTCATTAGTATGCACAAAATTTGCCCTATATATGCAATAACTGCTACTATTATTTTTGCAGAAAAATTTGAAAACAGACAGGGACGATTTGATCCTTGTTTTTGGTAATGGATGTCTTCATGCTGTTTCCAGCATAGATGGTGAGACACTCTGGAAGAAAGATTTTGCAGGTGAAAGGTATGGCACGTATGGTGTTTTGTTGAGCTAGTTATTCTTTTTTGTAGTGTAAGGCGGTGTTATTTATGTTGTCATCTTCATCTTATTTGCAGCATTGATGTTCAGCATCTTATTCTGTCTCCTCATGATGATATAATCTATGTAGCTGGTTTTTCTGGCTCTTCAGAATTTTTTGTGTATCAATTCAGAGCCAAGAACGGGGACTTGTTAAAGCATAATGATGCAGCACTTCCCTGTGGTACTTCTGGGGAATTATTATCAGTCTCCAATGATATGCTTGTGATATTGGATGACATCAGGTCAAAGATAGTAACAATAAACATAGGGAATGGGGATATTAACCACAACCAGAAGTATATTTCAGAGCTCATTGAGGATTCATCTGGACAGCCAGCAATTTTACCATCAAAGCTTCCGGGAATGTTTGCTTTAAATCTTGATTCCCATATTATCCTTCTTAAATTGACAAATGAAGGTGAGTTGGCGGTGGTGGACAAAATAAATAGCGTTGCAGCTATTAGTGATGCTCTATCAATTTCAGAGGGCCGACATGCTTTTGCATTTGTTCAACATGGAGACAATAAAGTTCATCTTTATGTAAAGGATGTCAACGCCAATGACTTGAATGGTGACTTCCTTAAGGAAAACATAGTAATAGACGATCAAAGAGGGTTTATTGAGAAAATTTTTATAAACAACTATGTCAGGACAGACAGATCTTATGGGTTTAGGGCATTGATGGTAATGGAGGATCATTCACTTGTTTTAGTACAACAAGGAGAGACTGTTTGGAGCAGAGAGGATGGTCTTGCTGCAGTGGTAGATGTAACAGCATCTGAACTACCTGTGGAAAAGGAAGGTGTCTCTGT